GGACCCCATTGTGCAGCTGCGTCGGAAGTAGGTGATGTCTCATCTTACAGATGGTGAAAATATCCGATGAAAGTATCATCTACCCGCAACGTGGCAACGGAATTCGGTTCTTCACCGCCGGCTGCGGAGATAACACAATGCGGACATTAATTTCCCAGCTAGATAATGATGGTTGATAGTTCTCGGGCTCCTCTATACGATTTGGGCTAAAACCATGGGGCATGCCCAAATCTCCTGGCTGAAAACACAAAACATTTATAGCACATATCAATGAACATCACCATCTTTTCCAGCAGTAGGTATTCACCAGGTTTGTTTTAGAGGATTGGATGTGTCATCTAGAGGTCCGAGTTTTAATCTCCTAATGAAATATGCACTTTGTCAGGGCCCATTTCCGTGGTCGCGCAATGCGCAACCGGAACGCGCAATTCAGGACCGGGGTACCGAATTAAATAATTATCTTCCAGGCGAATTGGAACCTGTTAATGAATACCATCATCTGTGCCATCGGAAGTCCCAATAATATTGTATCTTCATCATCCCAGGAGTGTGTTGACTATAGAGCCTTGGGCATGCCATTGGAAGGGCCCGTTTCGATTGCTTTGATGTGAGGCCCGCATTTTTGCGCCTGCAGGGTAAACAGTTAGTTACCTGCAACGTGGCTGCGCACACATAACCGGGCCGCGGAGAGAGAAAAAATCATTTTTCCCGCTGAAGTTTAATCACTCATAGAATGTATAGTTCTTATGTTGCAGATGAATAAGCGCCCCCGCCCCCAACTAATCGACCGTTGTTGTTATTAAAGGAATTTGACCTGAAAAAATCGTTTTGATTTTCGTATCTGTGGCGTTGTGACATTCCCCTCATCCATTTGGCACGTTTCTTTTACTGCTAGCTTTCTGTACGCATACTGATTCTTTCATTGTGGCGACGTTTTTGTTCTTGAGCGATACGGACAAATGCGTGGGGCAAAATGTGACTGCTTTTTGCGCCTCGGATTTCCTCACGTGAAAGCTGCTTTTTGAGCTAAGAATTTACATCTTCCGCCTGAAGTGAGCTGTGTAATAGCGGCTGGCTGTGACTGGTTTTTGCTTCGTTGCCTTCTGAGGTAATCATTGCATTGTACTTTGTGTCGTGCACTCTTGTAATTTGAACTCCGGGTTCTCATGTGCTGTAAAAGACTGTCGCGTTCAGTTGCGTTTGTTATGTGTGGAACCGGCAGCTATGGATGAAACTGGAAAAAATACATCGGGGATGTTGGCAATGAGTTACATGCATGGTTTGCCCTGTATTTCACGCATGTTGGATGTCGGTGTCCCGGCTCTTGCACATCTTTGAAGGTTAACAGTTCCGATATGACGCATCGGTTTGGATTTCTCCCCGGGTTTAATGTCCACGCGCCTTGTTCCCAAAATGTTCGTATCTTATGCTCCAAAGATGTATTCGAGGCAGCAGATGTGCGAATGCATCCGTTTGTGTTTCGTGTTACTGATCACCCGGCACCGTCCTTACCTTGGCGATTTTAGATCTTGGCCTGCATGAAGTCATCGATCTTTTCTATTGCACTCCGTCTTCATTTTGGAATGACTTCAGCTAAGACTGCATGTATTAGGAGCATGGCGGAAGCAAAGCTATCTGTTACCCTCTATCGTCTGCGCGTGTCCAGCGAAGACATCCTGCGCCCATCCCGTTTCCGAGGCTGTTATCAGATGGAGTAGGAAAATCGCCGACTGGTTATCCACGTTTCTTTGTAAATCCCGGCACCTGGCGCAAGTCAACCTGAGCCCCATCACTCCATCCCCATGTTGTTAGTCGTCACTTAGCTGTGTTAAGTTCGGTTGATTTGTTCCACGTCAGTTGCTGGGAAACATTAAAAAGTTTAAATTGTTCATACTTCCTGCTCTAGAAAATAAATTTCGGCCCTGTGGAAAATTGATGCACACGCTAATGGTGTTTTCAGTTAGTGTCCGTTATGATAAGTGTGCATCTAACTTGTGTACATTGCGAACTTTAACTTTTTTCTAACAAAGTATATACGTCCAGGGATTGAGCCTGCAGTATTTTGTCAGTGTGCTCCGAATTCTTGTACGGGGATAATTGATATTCGTTCAATACAGCCGATGCGTGGGGGCTACGGACATGCGTAATTAAATATTCTGCTTATCTTGTGCTTCAGAAAGCCGATAGTTTGTGAGCAAATCTACGTGAACATGATGCTGGTTGCCGCCGATCACTTGAGCCGAATTTGATTGTGCAGGATACCGGAGGGCATTGGATAACCTTCGCCATTGTTTGTGCCTGTCAGTTTATTGTTTTGTGTGCCGAAGCATGCTGTATTGCATTACTCGCGCTTGGTGACCGTTACATGGCAGCTGCTCGTCATTAAAACCATCAAAGGCCATTGATGTGTAATCACAGCTGTTGATGTCTAAATAAAGCTGTAGGTAGCAATGCGAATAAGTATTTAGATGTTCAGCTCCATTTGTAATTCAATATACTATGATACGTTTATCACTTTATTAGTAACCGCTTTTGTACTCGACACACGAGGATGTCCTGACACTAATCCGCGGGAAGCAAGGACTTGAATGGTGATTGGGTTTGGTAAAGAAAGATTGAGGGTGATGAAGAAAGATTAGAATGGGGATTGTGTGAGGCTAATAAGCCGTGCTTCCGTAAGCCAGGCAATATGTTTTGAACGAATGAAGGTTAACGTGCACTTGTTTTTCGACAGGGGACCACCTGATGTGCCGTGTATGTGGCAAGTTCTACACCAAGTTGGACACCATGCGGCGTCACATGAAGATTCATTCGGGCGAAACTACGTGCCCTCTGTGTGGCATCGTGTACGGCATGGTGACCAACCTGCGGCGCCACATCAGGAAGGTGCACGGCGCCAGGCGCGGCGACCACAGCTAGCAGCGAGGAATGCGGTGGGGCGTGCACTGCTCGCTGCGAACTAGTGCGACCTCCCGGGTGTACGCACGGAAGGCTCAGCCAAGAGAGCGTATGTCCACCCAGAACGAAGGCAGTGTAATTTGCGGGTGACAACACGCTGGGAAGGGATTTGACCTTCCCCAGTGGCCGTCCTCGAGTGTGTCAAGCGTCCGTCGGGCAAAGTGCATATTTTTGGAAGTGCGGTGATGCTTGGCATGCACGGGTAAGCGATGTAGTGGCCATGGTGTGCCATATTCTTATTGTCTTTCTGTCGTGATCTGGTAAGAGAGCAAAGTGTTATTTATGTTTGCGTGGCGGTAATTGTTTGGTGGTTAGGAAGTATTTGGTTAGTAGTCGTAGTTTTCAGCACGCGTCGATGGGTATTGAACTTCGTTCACGGGACGCAAAATTGGTGCGCGTAAATCAGCTCGCGGTCATGATACTGCCCACTGTCAACTATCGTGGCTGTCATCGCCACCGACTGAAGATGACACCAACTTGATGGTACTTCCATCTTGCTGCTCACTCTCATGTCACATCTCCTTACAATGCGCTTGGGATGCAAGTGACTGCTGTAATGTCGACGTGGTGTCTTCATCACGGCCTGGAACCTCGTTCAACTGGGAAGCACAAGGTGGGTGAGCGCCGGGATGGCGAGAGTCTCGCATCAGTGCGCCTCCTTTAAGGCCTCAGCTCGGCATTTTCGCTGATGCATGTTCTGCGTTTCTTCAGTAATTAGTACTTACGCTGTCCTTTCCGCCAGCCCTGACGTTGGTGGACCACATGTCGACCGTGCACCCGAATGTCGTCTTTTATTTGACGGGAAGCAAAGGCACGTTGGAGGAATCCACGTCCGCCTTGCCTCGTCGGCTGGTAGCGGGTCAAACCAGCATCTCTGTAGGAGCAGAGTCTGCTTGCTGGTTTGCTTAGTCGAGTCCATTCCTCCCACTGTGGTCCAGGAGATAGCACGCTTAGGCAGAACCTCCGGTGAAACCCGGTCTGTTGCTAGTCACCGGCCGGGAAGCCACTTCCTGATTGGGTACGGGTCTGCATGATCCAACCGTCTTGCGCTCAGCCGACTCGGTTCCAGGCTGTGCGAGCAATGCTGATCGGTCGCGAATTCGTACGATGGTTGGAATGCTTCTGCCCAATTTTCGGTCGGCTCGTCATTCAAGATCATGATGACGATAGTTAACCATGTTTTTGACAAACTGCACCTCTGGTTCGTGAAGTGCCAGATTGTCAGCACCCTTCCTGCATTCTGCGATAGGGTGCGGATCTGGCATGGAAGGGCTGCTTCGTGCTTTATGGCTGCTTTCTTTCTTTTAGGGCTGCTTTCGTGCTTCGTGCTAAGCTGTGCTGTATTTCTCTTGATCAAAATTGTATTTCAGCAAAGCATAGAGCCTTAGCATCTGGCTGTGTGGGAAGCGGAAATGTCCCAGGGATTCGGTTTCCGGTCTTCGCCATATTGTGTGTGTGCTGTGTTAACACGCTTGGTAATGCATGACGTGAACATGCTGTGTTTCTGGCACCTGACAGGATGAATGTGCAATTGGCCTTGGGTCGCCAACCAGCCATTGGTCAGGTTGTTATAATGTCCGTGCTCCAGTTGTCACCAGTGTGTTACGGAAATATATCAGCGCCTGGACGTATCCCTGTTGAGAAGTGGTGCAGACATTCGCTTTTCTTTTGCGTTGTTTTTGCGCCTTAAGCGTCGTTTCTCAATTGCTTTCAATATATACTGGCAGGGGCAAAACTCCATTAGTATAATTTGCGCAAAGCTGGAATACGGCTCTTGGAACGCGTGTAACGTTGCATTGCTAACCTCCTTCCTGATTCACGTTCGAAGGAAGCTCACAAATGTATTTACCATTGTCACTGACGTCAGCAATATTCAACGGTTCGAGCTATGGTGGCCCAGTTTTTTTTAGCTCGGCTAGAAACACAGTGACGAGTCTAGGTCTACCCTGCATCCTCTTGGTGTTACTTTATGCCCATTTAACATGGATACGACTTTGCCGTTCTGTAGCCAAAATTAATTGCAGACTTTGGCACAATCGACGATGGAAAATGGCAAGAAGGGTTGTCAGAGCCTGCGTGGGAGGCCACAGACGAATCAAGTCTCACTTCAATTACAAGACAATGCCCAGCTTAACACGCTGGGGCGACCCGCTCTATCCCAACCCGATGCTACGTCGGTGTGTTGCAGAACGTGCTTCTGTTCTATTTCCGCCTTATATGCATCATGTCTTGCTCGCCGCCTAAGCAGCAAGGATTTGTGAGAGTTTTGCAACTTTGTCTACAAGACATTGTGCACCAACTACGCGGTAACAAGCGTCCGTTGGGGGCGCGCACCTGAGGTTATTTTGCGCATCAGACTCCGTATGGGCCCTTCCACACAATCGGTATCACTGCCTACGCTTCCTAACTTCCTTTAAACCAATAGTTCCCACGTTGCTGAGGAACAGTTCTGTGTTGTTTCCGTATTTGAAAATGCTTACTAGTCCGCAGCATATTGATAATATCATGTGAAGTTATTTAGTCAACGGGCCTGGTCTTGAAGACCGGCCCTATGACTCAGCAGTTTATGCATGGCATCCCGAATAGATGCTTGCGTTACGAAAATATCGTTACGTGGAAGCAGCTAGAACGTCTGTCGCAATTTGACGAACCGAGGTAAGCCACCTGCGATATGAATGTATACTTCTGCATCGCACTCTTGGTTCGATTCAGTTGCTCTCTTTGGACTTACTAGTCACCTGAACTGGCATGTATGCTGCGATTCCTATTCATGTCCGCCGATGCCCGTGCGGCGTGATGAGCGCCCGTATGGCCCTGAGCCCGTGGGTGGGCTCCACGGCGCCAGGCCTGTCGTCCCGGCTCCGGCTCGGGCCCTGAGCGCGTGTTCTGTGCCGCAGCTGCCGGCGACGCGGCGCGCCACGTGTGCGAGACGTGCGGCTCCGTATACCGACACCCCACCTCGCTGAAGCTGCACAGGAAGGCGCACGAGGGCCGCACCACGTGCCCCGTGTGCGGCCGCACTCTCTCCGTGGTGGCGTCGCTGCGTGCGCATATGCAGAGCGTGCACGGCATGTCGGAGGAACACGTGCGCCGCCTGGTACCGGGCGCCGCCCGGCATCGCTACAGTGCCCCGGCTCGGCCGTCGGCCGCGCGCATCGCTGACCGCTCCAGCGACGCCCACGGGCTGGCGCTCCCAGCCAACCCCGCGCGGAACCTCCCACCGCACCGCGGCATGGACCGCTGAGACGTGTATCACGGAATACCACCCCCACGGCTTGTAGCACTACGGTTGGGCAACGGGGGCCATCTCGAGTGAATCGTCAATTGCACTTTCCTTTGCAATTGCACGATATAAGTGCGAAGTTGGCGGAGCAAATCACATCTCGATGAACAGTTTTCTATTACTTACTTTTACGGATCAGATAGGTCACTTGTAGCGCGATTTAAGCCAGATTCGTACCCTGGTCTGTCGGAAAATTGCCGGCACCATGCATTTCGTTTTTTAAGGTGGCAAATAGCCTGCCTTTTTACAACTGACAGCAAGCACCCGCATGTGGCGATTTGGGCTACACGCCATCGAAGCCATCTGATCTGCCAGTGCGTGATGTATCGACCGATAGCACAGCCACTTTATGTCACGTCGCGCCATCCCGGCTCAGTGCTGCGATCTTCAGTTTGCTAGTGGGCCTCTGTCTGCTCGAGATGTGACTGTTGTGCCGTACTCCTCTGTTGGTCTGCGGTCGTCATCCGACCTCTGGATGGGTGTGACTTCTCGAAGTGGTTTTGGTGCACCCTGCCTCTGAGCAGCTTGATCTTGGTGTCATGTTGGCCGCCCGAAGTCCGACGGTGACAGCGGCGAGTTGGACTGATGCGTTGTAGTGAGCGCTGTTCATCTGACGTGTGGACACAGTGGACACATGTCCACTGATCCGGCAGGGAGCCACTCCCACAACAACAAAGCTGTTCGGGCTAAGCTCAGATGGTCTACGCAGTATTACCTCATTGAAACTTGACTCAAACGCTGCCCCGCAGCTGGAGTACGGAGAGCGGCTGTCACGGGCATATGTAGTCACGCTTGCGAAGTCTCAGCCGCTCATTAGTTGTACCAATAGTGGCTCGATGGGGTTGGCAATATTGGCTAATAGTGGCCAATAGTGGCAATAACAGTGGCTCAATGCACACGGCGGCAGTAAATTTTAGCATTCACACCGTGAAGGTCTGCTTCGTATGTGACCAATATTATGGATCCGTGAAGCTTTTGAAATCATCCATTCAGCCGTGACAGATCTGCTATTGGTCTTAGGGAACTACGCTCGCATCGCGGCACTAATGCGTACTGTTTCTGATGAGCTACCCCTGGTCTAGTATAGACCTTCTTTGGCATGAAATAAAACAGCTTCAGAGTCCTTGCCAGTTCGTTTCAGCCTGTTCATGGAGGCGTGACTGATGCGCTTTATTTGCATGTTCTGATAACGAAACACCACGCATTACCCGGCCCTGGTGTTGTGAATGCCGATCAGATCAGATCCCTCCGTGAACCTCGGAAGTTGCGGACACCGCTGATGCTGGTCACTGATGGTTCAAGGTATGGAGGTTACGGGGTGGGCATGAAGTATGTATGCGTAGGAACCGAGCACGCGGAGATAAAGTGTAGAACTGCCGGAGGTAAAGCCTGGCACGATGAGTAAAAATCGCTGTCGTGCATCTGGGGTCGCAACTTGAGCAGCTTGACTTTTCTCGCGTGTTGTGATGATCACATGGTCTCATATCCAACATTTTGCTTGGCCACAGTATGGGAGGCAGCAGCCATCCGCGGAAGGCTCCCGCGGGTGGCGCTGCCGATGGACGCTGCGCGGATGGCTGGCTTAGGCCCGGACCCCTCTCTTTTAGCGGGTGGCCGCGGCTGGCCGTGTCCGCACTGCCACAGGGTGTACAAGTTCCGCTCGTCGCTCACCAATCACCGACGCAGCCACGAGGGCCTGACGCGCTGCCCGCGCTGCGGCGCCGTCTCCAGCAATGTCCACAACCTGCGGATGCACCTGCGCGTCGTGCACGACGTCGGAGCGGAGGAGGCGGTCCGACTGACGATCATACCCCGGCCGGCTGACGGCAGCTCGATCAATCTGATGGTGGCGAAGCGGTGGCCAACGCCGTAACTCTGCTGGGGCACGAGAGGCGTCTGTCGGACAGACGCATTGCGGAAGACGTGACGAGTCGTTTCCAGTATTGTGGCGCCTAGCATCAGTGGTGCATGTGGCCGGGTGGCCGGGTGCTTCCGGCGGAAGATAAGAGCAACGTTGGAACACGTGAATAACATCTGGGTATTGACCCACATTTACTGGGACGTGAATATATGTAACGTTACACCACATCAGCCGAAAGTTCAGTTGTTTTAGACTATAAGAAAGCGCCGCAGAGCATGGCGTCGGCTGCGCAAAAGGCTTGAGTGGTCACTCGTCCAGTGGAAAATTGGGTCCTCCTTGGACAGTGAGTGGATTACAGTAATCGTCTTTAGTGCGACTTGTGAAAGGATTCAGGCGGTCTCCTCGGGCAGGGCCTCGTACGGGTATCTGCAGAAGAAGACTGCGGGGAATCAACCACAATGTACAAGTTCGTGACTTAATGGATGCGGCTCTCCTGTATCGCACCATGTCCCAGCAGATTTGTCTTGATCTGGCCAGGCTGGCATCTGTGTCGGGAATTCTGGTAGCGCCGATCAACAAGATACCGCCATAGCACTAAATCATTCTGAGTGCTCATTGTATATGTGTACCTCGTATAGTGTACTCGATGCTGGATGTACCAGTGCACGAGTGCTCGCCTAATAAACCACTTCAACTATCCATATGCATTTTCGAATACTTAAGTGGGCTAGGTTATGTGTAATGTGGGCTTGGTAGGCATCCACTGCATTCTCAAGTACGAATTATATATATATATATATATATATATATATATATATATATATATATACATATATATAGGTATTGATCATCACACTGACGTGATGGTTTGCCTGGAGTTCGTGGCGCAATGCATGTGGAAGATTGGTCCGTCCCAAATTGATTTTGTCTTGACCTTCAATATGCAGTGCAGCACCACGTCGTGCTTTGACGTGTAATGCGGAGCACCGTAGTTCGTTTGGCATCTTGACATCTTTGTATTTCCAGTCACTAGCTGTTACGGGTTCGTGCTTTAATGTTTCTGAGCAGCCTATAGTTAAGCTTGGTCCTGTGGAACATGAGAACGTCACCTTGATATGATTTGCGACACAGTGGACAGAGGCTGCAGCTCGTTCATGGAAATATGTCTGCTGTTCCGCACAGGTTAGGCTTCAAAAATTAGTGGTCCCTTCTCAAAGAAAACAAACGCTGAACAGATCCCAGATATTTTAGTGACGATGTTTAGTGGCGCTTTTAGTGGCGACGCATTAAGCAGATGCGATGAGAGATTTTGAAAATAGATTTTTCTCTATCAAGTGTGTAAGCTATTCACCTTGCCTTTGCAGCGTGAGTTTGGCCGGCAGGTAATATCGGGAATTGTCCGGAATGTTGGAAATTTGTCTGGGACTGTTCGGCGTTGCCAACACGGAAGACTCTCCCAGATAATTTTTCGTATTGAGAAAGAATCCCGGAAAATCTTCAGAACACGGTCAAGACGGAGAATCTTTTGCTATGCATAGTTATGACCGTTGACTGTGTGCGACGCATGGCACACACATCTGGGGGATAGTTTCCGGGTCGGCCGAACTCATATGAAGAATCTCCGTGGATGACTATGGGGAGATAATCGTCCACGTCGAATAAGAGATATGATCATCCGCGAATTCGTTGAATGATTTTCCCTCGACCGAATGCGCCTGAAATGTGTTGACAGGAGAAAATGTCTCACACTCGGTCCAATTCCCCCCCCCCCCCCCCCCCCCACTGGCCGGCCTCCCCTCCCCCACACTCACTGCCGTTTTATCCCAGTTTTAGTCCCATCCTAGCCCATCCTAGCCCCTCCGCGTACCGCATACAATGCACTGCATCGTTTTCACCGCGTTTCATGCGGGTGCAAGAACGAAGGGGCCTAAATCCGGAGACAAACTGGAATGTACGGGTAGGCTAGGTGAATCCATGTATGGGATTCGTCATATTGTTAGAATGACCCCCACCCTTTAAAGACTCCTTAGAGAGGCTCTGAGTGCGCGCGTGCACACCTGTTTGGAGGTCAATTCCGTGGGATATTCTTGAACATTGAGCCGCCAAACATTAACTTGTGTAAGTGCATGGTTAGAATCAGCACACAGGTGACTTCTCGAGTCATCATTAAGAAGTCAGCGTGACATAATTTTTTTGCCCAGCTGATATGCCATACCTGACAGATACAAGGCATTTCAGAGAAAAATCCATATACCCGGAACGCGAAACAAAGTCTTATCAGCAAATCTGAATCTGTGTATATATGGCGATTTGCGGAAACAATGCCCCTTTCTGGAGGTCTCCCATTCCGTAGCCTGACACCTGACGCCTGCGAAATGATGGGCGGAATGGTTTCGCTATGAACAAATAAACTTTGTATTGCTATAAATGTCATTATGGACACGTGAAAAATTGTGCCCTTTAGATTGGCATGTGTAGTTGCTGATGAGGAGCACGCCATAAGGCATAGGTGTCAGCCATATCCATCAATTCAATCGTACTAGGGCATGCGTCTGTAGCAGCCGCGGCTGCAGAGTCGTGCCGGTCACATCAGCGTTGGCGTGTAATGTTCCACCTCATTGAGACTCTGGCTTCTCCTGTTGCAGCGAACAGGAACGTGTGTGACGTGTGCGGCAGTTCGTACAAGCACCGCGAGTCGCTGTACCACCACAAGAAGAAGCACCTGGGCCTCACCAAGTGCCCCGTGTGCGGGAAGGTGTGCAGCATCGTGGCCGACCTGCGCCGCCACATGGAGGTGGCGCACCAGCTTTCCTCCGAGGACGTCCGCAAGATCATCCCCACCAGCCTAAAGACCGCCTGTCCTGGAGCCAGTTCATGACGGGCCGGTGAAGATTGCGCTCCGGCTGGCTCGGCCTCAGCCGGCACCGGCGGCGCGCTCCCCAGAGCCTGGCCGACCGCCGACGCCGACGGGCGCGGTGCCCCTCGCTCGTAGTGACCGGCCCGCTCTGAGCCAGGTCGTGACGGCCGGTGCCTGAAGAACGCTCGTGGATCGCTCGGATTGCAGAACGAGACGTCCGGGGTTTGTGACTGGACATCTTAAACGAGGGCACCACCGAGCGTATGCGATTGTGTACGTGTGGGTGTGCGGGGTGGCTATTTGCGGCCAGTGAACTGAGGTGGGATCTTCGTAGTGATGCCTTTTGATGGCTGCGCCGTTGCGTGGCTTTTTGTAGTCGGATATCACATTTCCTCCTGTGGATTTGGTATTTTGTTACGGGTGATATGTCCACCCATAGTGTAATTCGCCTGAAAGATGGATGTGGATGGCCCCGGGGCGCATTCTTTCGGGATTTTTTTGTCATTGCTTCACATTAGATTTCGGCTGGATCTTATGCCTGCTTTACTCTGGATGCCATCATCGCCGATTCAGTCTAATGTAGCAGGCATCGTCATGGTTTTGCCAGTTTTCTCTCGGTGAATGGCGACATGGTTGGGATGAGCTGTTCATTTTTTTTTTTTAATGGCAAAAGGTGTTCGTGGCATATAAATTTAATATTTGTCCGCGTTGGATGCGCAGTAAAGGGTTTCGTTTCAATGTTGCTGGGTATTTTTCATTGATATTATCAAAATCATGCGATATCCAAGTCGTAATTTAGGCGGTTCTCATAACGCATTGTGTCTAGGCGATAAGAAGCTTGAACCACGTACGCGTGCTTCCGCCGTGCCTCTTGGCGTTAACCTTGGGCGACTGCGGTGTATTTTCAGCCAACTTTGTGACTATTGAAATATGCCGTGGTACTACGATAATTGCGATATCATATTACGATAGTTTGCATGTATGAGTGAAATCGATTTTGAAACATTGCCTCATTTTGTTGCCACCGTGAACGCCTCGTACCTGGCATGACATCAATAAGCTACGCTAAGTATCAATTTATGCCAGTAGTTTGGGCCCGATACTGATTTTTTGTGCTTATTTTTCTAGATACCTCAGTATGATAGGTTCATCTCGATACTTAAGCCCGTTCGGGCGTTGCACTGATTCGCGCTGATTGTGTTCGTTCCACCGAGTCGTCACGTGCCTTTTTTGACCATGGAACCTTTGTCACCCACTGTTTGCGCGCTGTATAACACCCGCTGTATGCTCGCTGTCATGGTTTAATAACGCCAACATTGATGGCAGCATTTTGTCCAATCATCGGTAAGTAAAATGCGTTACATGACATGGCCTTCCCTCCTAAACTAAAGACGCGTGGATTTTCACCGATATTTTGATACAAGTGAAGGGATGTCAAGATGCTGAAGCCGGCTAAGGGCAACACCACTGGTGCTTTGTTCTGTACTTTTATAGCGTGTCGCGCACAACACCGAACTGTATATTTTTCGCCTCAATTGCGCCTTACACAAGATGCAGTGTTATCCTGGCATCAACGAAATGTACCGCAACTACGGATCGTGTCGTCTATCCTGGAATGGGAATGACCCCGGCTAATAATGTGACGGAAGGGGATTCCTTATTTCAGTGCAGGCTCGTCCGGCTGGTGTTGTGCCCGTCGACGCGCCACATTCGTCACCCGCGATGGAAACCAGTTTTGAGATCGTCTGTTCCGTACCCAGATATCGGGGCCCGAAAGCCCACATCATCTTCATCATCTCGGAGTTTTTAATGTAGATACGTCTGCGCTGCTATGTGCGCCAAACGTCACTCGTGGCTAGTGCCTCCTGTATTGCCTGTGCGGTGTTTTATTTCTGTAGTGTTCGGTTGGTCTGGGTCTGTGTGCTGCACCGGATGTATGATAAACCATGCATACATTGTGGTTGTAATGACTCCGGATGTTGGCAATGGTGGAAGCTGCCCGTGAGCGCTTCTGACGAAGAATCAACCCATAACATTTCGATTTTCACGACGTATCTGGTAGGCAATATTCTGCTTCCTTTTAAAGGTTAGGTTTCCGTTGCCCATACTCACGTCATTCCCAATCGTAATATATAACATAAATTATAAACGTTGATTAGTTTTTCCGGTTATCAGCACTTCATAACACATTTTGCATGTTGTATACCAGCAGCGACTTCAACGTTGCGCAATATTTTACATTTGGAACCACGCCTAGCCACCAGCTTTGGTCTGACGAGAATGGAGTGCGCCAAATGTTTGTCCTGATGCACCCTGCCAAGATGTATCGTTCCCAGCTATTTTCCCTGCTCCCCATCCTTGCAAGCCTGGTTAACCCCCATGGCACCTCAGCGACCGCAGATTTGGAGACGTATTTTCTCAATATAATCGCCTGTGTTGTTTACTCAACTTTTTAACCCAGTTCAGTTTCCCTTCTCGAGTCCAGCTTAGCACCTTAGCGCTATTCTAAGCCCTCGGTTGATATAGACAAGCCGCTGCCCTAACCTTTGACATGGGAAGGCTGCTGGATGTTTGACGCTGGGGAGCAATGGCGGACATCGACGCGCGGGGAGGATGGGGAGAGACCCTGAGCCTTTACACCCGTGTCAGCGCAGACGAATACCTACCCGAGCGGCGTCCCCGATCTCAGTGCGGCTGGTGTCGTGACCCGGGTGGTTGTAGTGCCATGCGTAGCGGCGACGTCGTCATTGTGCGTGACGCGGTGACTGTGACGTCATCATGCGTGACGTGGTGACTGTGATGTCATCATGCGTGACGTGGTGACCGTGACGTCATCGTGCGTGACGTGGCGACGGGCAGGACCTTGGCTGACACTGGACGTTGCCCGGCAGCGGCGGCGGGCGGCGGCCACGTGCGACGTGTGCGGCCGCGTGTTCCAGAACCCGGGCTCGCTGCGCAATCACCGGCAGCTGCACGCCGGGGCGCACGGCCCTGCTCGCTCTGCGACGGCGTGTTCAGCGCCGTGTCGGCGCTGCGCCGCCACCTGCGCGACGTCCACGGCCGCTCCGAGAGCGAGGTGTACCGGCTGGTGCGAACGAGCGCTGCGGCCCCGCGCCCGATGGGCCTGTCGCCGCTGCTGCCGCAGGCTCCGGGGGCAGGCCGAGCGCCGGACGGGACGCGCTCCGACCAGAGCTGGACGCCTATCCACGGCGGCGCTCCCCTGCGCCGCTAAAGGCAAGAGTGCCACCGGCGTCGGCCGAGAGCCGGGTGGTGGTAGTGGTGCTTCAAGTCCGAGTGGTGTTCCGAAGACCAGTTCTGGAGATCGCGCTGTGGGTGAGAACGGGAGTGTGCGCGGCTGGAAACGCCGCACTCGGAGCAAGTCAGGACGGCGGTTCTGGAGGTGGCGCGTGTGGCCGTGGGTTCCATGTCGCCGAAAGTCACCTGCAGAAGCCAAAGCCAAAGTGATCTGCTGCTTCAGACCGCACCATATTGCTGCGACCGCTCCAGATTGCCTTGGCGCGTCTATGCAGCGGCATTTTGTGGATACGCACAGGCACGAGTAATGCGTTAACGCGCCGCGGCAGATCCACTCAGCAACCAGGATCGTGCCACAAGAGGCGCGGTGGAACCGTGCCTGTGCCACATCGTGCCACGACAGATCCAGGACTGCCACATCGTGCCACGACAGATCCAGGACTGCCACATCGTGCCACGACAGATCCAGGACTGCCACATCGTGCCACGACAGATCCAGGACTGCCACATCGTGCCACGACAGATCCAGGACTGCCACATCGTGCCACGACGGATCCAGAACTGCCACATCGTGCCACGACAGATCCAGGACTGCCACATCGTGTCACGACAGATCCAGGACTGTCACATCGCGCCTCAGTAAATCCGTGGCAGCCCCATCGTGACCAGACAGATCAGGGACCGCCACGCCAGAGCCAGGGCTGCCATGTATAGTGTAACGACAAATCCGGGGCTGGCACGTCGTGACCAGACAGATCAAGGACCGCCACGCCAGAGTCGGGGCTGCCGTGTATAGTGGAACGACAAATCCGGGGCTGGCACATCGTGACCAGACAGATCAAGGACCGCCACGCCAGAGTCGGGGCCGCCGTGTATAGTGGAACGACAAATCCGGGGCTGGCACGTCGTGGACTCGAGAGCCAGGGATTAGTGTGCGGGTAGATCCAGAGCTGCGAGACGCCTGTAGCAGTATTCCTAACAATCGTGCGTTCCGCGTGACATGAATTGATGGCACCCGTATTATTGACGGCCCCTTTGCAGAGGAGTACTCACCAATGCATTGCTAGCGTGTTGGTGATGCAACCTTGCGTGATTACCTTACTCGATGCTGAGATCTTTCTCCCTGCATATTGTGCACCAGATCCGTACTGTATTGTACTGTAACTTCTGTAACTGCCACTACATCTTACTCATGAAGCATCAACGCGATAGTGGATTTTTCCTTGGAGCGGATTTTTGGCGAAATATGTAAAAGCTGGTTGCAGTAGCCGGTTTAGGCAGCTTTTACGTGAAATGGTGCAAAAATAGCAAAGAAGTTGATAGATTCTGCACTGGTGTGTATTGCTATCCATTGCAACGCAGCATTTCTTCCTACAAGTAACTCGTGGGCCAAAAATTGCATGTGCGGTGGTAGTATTCGCACATTATCGCCCAAGCTTTATTGCACCATATGAAATCGAGTACATTTTGTTCGCGCGGAGCGAATTCGCCCGCGAGATATTTACTTGAGGGAATGGATCGTCAGAGTGACGATCCATGAATCTGCCTCCGGCAAAATCTTGCGAGTTGCGCGCTTCGCTCCGATGTCGCATTTGAGCCATCCTCATAAATCCTCGCCGTCAGTTCTGCCTTGCCCCAGTTCTTGTTTCTAAGATCCTTTCCTGCATCCCCACCTGCCTACACATCCGTCTCCGTGACGGACTCATGGAGCCACCGAGATGCGTAGACCGTCATATCCATGAAATACATTGTAATGCGGTGTTCAAGACAGACAATTGCTGTTCTGTTCCGATCCCCGCGACCTTGTTTCGGGTCGATCCAGTGGGTAAAACAAACCGTGAGGGTTAGCCTCGGAAGCAGTATCATATAGGTCGTTTCGAACCCGTCCGGGTGGAGTTGTGGCTTGAGACCATCATCCCAAACCCATAGCATCGCTTGACCGCTGTCAGGTTTTCACCAATGATGTATCAATGCAACCGTGGAAACGCTCGCCCGCGGCAGAATGTAGCAGTCCTGGATAATGAATGATTGAAAATCCAGGTTGAGCTTCATACGTGTATGAAATCTGTTTATGTGCATCCGGTGTCTGTTACCTCGCATTAAGGGCGTAGAAAATAAATCAGCCATGATTACACCTTCGTGATTGTTCAACCCCGCATTCCATGTCCGGATCACCGAAGCTATACGGGCACTGGATGTGGTAATGGGACCGGCCAGCAAACATATCTCGCTAGATATCTCTTCATGCTGAAACTTCAAACGCCATTGCAGAGGACAGGTTGATGGCGTCAGTGTTGCGCCGCTCCGCCACGTCTTCTAAAAAAAATATGGCTACCGCTTTATTTGCGGCGGAATTGTGTTAGGCATAACATTGTCAGGAAATACACGCGTGACGACGCTGAGCGTTATGTCACGGTGACGCCCAAGTCAAAATGCTGCCGTGATCTCGCAAATCATTTCCATCAGTTTTGCTTTTTGATGGAATCACGTTCACGAAGGCTATCTTGTTTTACCCCGCGTATTTGTGGCCGCACCTCTCTTCTCGGGCGTCAGGAAAGTCAGCGGTCTGCCATTGTTACTCCCGTTAAACACTCTTAGGTAAGTGGTTCCCACAATCGACAGATATGCGGTATGCAGAAATGTATTTGAAATATTCGCGTGGCGTAGTCATTCACCATATTATCCGGTGTCTTCTCTGGTAACGGAATTTCTGCCTTAAGTCCACCAGTGTGTCTGGTAGGGGCCTGGTGTGAACAGCCCTTACTCCACATTCGCATGCGTGTTATGGATAAACAGGGCGATTAAACTTGTATACAGCCGTGTTTTATTCAGCCGCTTTAGTTTCAATGGGTCGGGATTGCCTACCCAGGGACGGCTCCATCCGGCGACGGGGACGCGTCCCTCTATCGTCGGATAGGGGGGCAGTCCCGCTACTCTAACAACGTTTGGGTAGAAAAAATACACCAATTTTCACGAAGGAATATTTAACATATTCACATGACGATGATGATGATGGCATGATGAAACTTCTTCACGTTGATAGGATTGCACTGCTACAGTGTTGGTACGATTCTACTAGGACTTCAAAGCACTGCTCGGGGATTTTCTGCCTTTATTCGCCGGGCTTTCTCAATGCCTTCGTGCCCAGAGTTCAAAGACGGATTAGAAGTCGACAGTATCGTCATGTGCCTGCAGCCTATGGTTTTTGAAAGTTGTATTATGGAAAATGAAAACTAATACTGAATTTCAGTGCATGTGGTATCAGAGACGGCGCCACTGGGAAAACGGAGGGGGGGGGGGGGTGTTTCCTTATTACGGGATTGGACGGGACAGTCCCCATACCCCAGGAACCTTTTTGGAGGAGATATGATATTCTTTATAAAGATTTTCACTGGACCCCATCTGCAATTATTACCACGATAAAGCTCCCTCACATCGGTAGGGTTACGATGGTATAAGCACCAGCACAGTACTAGAACATACAAACGCTTGACGGTATGCCGGTTCATTGGCCGAACATAGTCAATGCGTCTGTTCCCATCGCTCTTCCAAAAAAGATGACATTAATTTTGAGGAGGCTGGGGAGCGCTGAATCTGCGTCAAATATGCTGCCACGTTATTTTTTTTTTAAGTTTCCTTCACCCCGCGCAGTTTTACCAAGCAGTGCCGGCGCTCTGGCGGCGAATGATCTTAATGTTCAGTTCGCTGAAAAATACATGCTCAAACTCGTAGATATGCCTAGTGATGCTGTTTTTATGAACATAAAAATATGGAAGGCGTAGCTTGCATCCATTTGCACCCATTTTTGCAATCGTTTTTTTCTGTTGTGTAATCAGAGATACGAATGAACTGAGCCATTCATGTCGACCACAGCCTCCTCTAACCTTCCCCGAAAAAAACGCCTTTGATTTCGCGAGAGATTGAAGAAGGTTCGGGGCGAGCTTTTAGGAGCCTTGGAGGAGGATGGAAGAGCCACAGGGGCGATCAGATCAGTTTGGAGGAGATCTGAGGAGGTTAGAGGAGTGACGGAAACAGGCCCAATGTCTTCCGTGCCTCCGTGCCTAGATTTTAAGGTCGGATAAGGAGGTGGTTTAAACAGCATCAAGTGCATGACAACCGATGGATGTTATACTAATGTATATTGCGTCATTTTTGTATTACCAGTTATCATTGATGAATAGTACACGTATTTTTAGGAAAACATTGAAATTTGTATAGAATTGCAGCATGCGTGCTATAATGCAATATCCTTGATGTCGTAGGTGCGATTTCTGTTTTTGATCGCTGTATGTCAATAACCATCAAAAGTTATCATCAAGCTCACCGTCGTGTTTTTGCAGCAGCTTCGGAACGCAAACTGGCATCGACCTGCAAATTTGCATGTGTTTCCTATTAGTTGCGCGCTTTGTCACATTTTGTACCTAAGGCCCGGCATGACGGCGTCATTTGATCATATTACTATTGGCCGTTACCGCACTCGAGGAATTTTAACGAAAATTTTGGTTAATTTTGCTGTTTTAGCCGTGTTGTAATGCAGTTTGATGATATGTTTAAACAACTGTCTATTTAACCGTTTTGGTGTGATTCAGTTTTCATTTTAAATCAAAACCAGCCGGGGAACGGAATTTGTTCCCCGTCATGTTTTCAGGGCTTAATCAACTGGTATCAAAGCGGAGCGACGCCAAATTTGCACTACCTTTTACGTCTTTTTTTGTACGCGACGGCAATTTTTAATTTCCAAGCAGGTCACTGCACTGACCGAGGTCAGTATGAGTTCGGAGTCTAAAAATGATGGCCTCATACCATGTTTAGGTATGGATAAATCTCGCGATTATTGTAGAAGCATTCCGTTGTGTTATGCATGTGCATTTGCCGCTTTTGTTTAACTTTTGCACATTTTTTGGTCTTATAATTTGTAGCGAAATGGCGTTCAGAGAGAATTACGCCCATGGAACTGGTAGGAATCAACTTTGAAGTATTTCCCCGGGCTGACTCGGTCCACGTTTCCTGCATCATTGCTAATCGAACAAATGCGTAATACGTTTTTTTTTTTATTCCCAGAATTTATGAATAAGGTAATAACGGTAAAATTTGAAATCAGCATTTTAGTACATGCTGAGTTTTTAGGTGTAGTTTGATTTTCTAGGTGTGTGGTTGAGTTCTAGCAATTGTTTCTGAAATTGGACTGCTGAACCTAGCCTACAATATGCAAGGCAAACATCAAGAAAATGCAGGGTGGTTCCAAAGCGTGGGACCAAGGGAAACGTGGCCACCTCAGCCAATAGGATTGCTCTAGGTACTGGGCAATTTTTC